ACCACGACATTAGGTCGTTCGGTAGGTATTAAATTACTAATTTTAATTAATCGTTTATTTAGATAGAATATAAAGTAGTTTTCCAAGAAAACCTCAAATCCCGTAACCTTTCGTTAAAAACTTAATGATAGGTACGCATAAGGTTTTTTTATGGCATAAGCCGGTAAACGAGCAGACGGATCAACTGATGGTAAGCAATCGGCGTCGCCCATGGACACCTGGAACACCAGAGGCGTTACAAGTGCGTTACCGGCCTTTTGGGGATTAGGAGCTTGAGGATCGTTGGGGATTCAGGAATTAGGGAGATTGGGGAAGGGGAGAGTAATTGGGCCTCCGGTAACCTCACTCACACGACAAAACACAACGTAAGCGTTGCTTCACGTCGGTTTTCTGTGAGGCCGTGGTATCACTCCGTGCCGAAGCATGGCTCTCCCACACTTTTCTCACACCAGTTTTGTTAGAAATCGCAGCGACCCCGCACCGTCTCGTGTGTTGAGTGCTTAACATGTAAAAATATTAGAGTACGCTATGACACCACTGTCATATTACTGGCACGTTGGTAAACGCTAACAAATTGCATGTTTAATGTGATTTGTGAACGACACAAACGCAGCGACGCGACTACATTGTTGCTTTTGCATGATAAATTGTATTACATCGCGTTATTAATGTTGACATGTAACTTGCAAATTACAGATTTGTCGAATATGTTTAACTTCACTTTATGTTAATTTAGAGTCTTGTTTAGACATTCTAAGATTTGAAATTAGGTTTCAAATTAATCTGCCTTACTGGTCGGTTCTAAGTAAGGAGATGCTAATTGGCTATTTCGTTGTGGTAAACTGTTATAGATATAGTAGGCTAGGAACATTCAAAATCTATTTCAGGTAAAATTATGAATGTTATTTACTCCTAAACGTTTTTGATGTCAACCGAATCCATGTTTTTGTAAGTTAAAGTTGTCTGCACTAATACTAGACCGAGTTTATATCTATACTTCAGATAAATGAAATTGCAGTGTATGTTTGTACTACCGCTTTGTACTACATGTATATACATTATACATACGATACACATACCAAAATAACAACATTTTACAACTTTTGTCTGTCTGTTTGTACTGGCCAATCTCTGGTATAGCTGGACTGATTTTGCAAGACTTTTATTGGCAGGTAGCTGATGTACTAAGAAGTAACATAGGCCAACATAAGAAGATTGAAACATAAAAAAAGTTATGTTCTAAAATTCATATCACGCAAGCAACAGCTAGTCATCAATATCTCTGATCTGAACTTTTTCACTGTTTGAAAATAAATGACCAAGTCACTATTCAATTCCAACCCTCTCATACAAAATAGTTTCGCGTAACGTTCTAATCAAGTAACATTTCGCCCATACAACATACAGCTATAAATTTGAACATTTTGCGCAAACTTTGAAGCGGAAAATAGTAAAGGGAACGTTTTGAAAGCGTCCCTCGGCGACTTATAACTGGAGTCAATTTATTTCTTAAATAAAACTTTCTACACGCGCATACATACATACATACATACATATATACGCTCGAGTTAGTTGCGTGCCTTACTCATGTACATACATACTTGCACTATACGTATAAGTATATTGGACCGCACTGCGTATACATATTGTTGTGATATAAAAATGAATTCTAATACAAATGTATTTGCATACTTATTAGTCCCATGTGATACAATGTGAGCCTATTTCCATATACTGGTCATAATTCCAGGGCTAACAAATTTTCGATTAGTGAATATTATTATAACCGCAATTTTTTTTTTAAAAAAGGTCATCCAAGATCCCTTACTTAGCAATTACATAACATAACATAACTTTACACCTTTTATTCCCGAAGGCTTAGGCAGAGGTGCACATTATGGCACTGTACAATGTAACACCCACTTTTCACTATTTATGTTATGAATCCCATGTAATAGGGGGCGAGCCTATTGCCATATACCAGGCACAATTCTAGATTACGTGCTACTACTTCGAATTAAAAAAAAACCCAGTAATACTTTGCCCGACCCGGGAATCGAACCCGAGACCCCTTGTCCGGTAGTCGTACTTGCGACCACTCGGCCAACGAGGCAGTTAGCAATTACACTTGCGACTATAACGATGCCTTGACTGTCTCTACCAATGAGATAGAGTCGGAGCAGTTCTAGACATAGTAAAAAAAAAATATTTTCCTTTTTGTAGTCTAGCAATACTGCTGAAAATATCAAGTAAGTAAACTGTGTAAGTATGTAGTGTACGAACATAAGTTTGGTCTCTTGTGAGTTCAAGTTAAGAGCATGGAGATTGTGACCGCAGCGGTCTCAGACGGCCATGTTCTGCAGCTGAACTATACTGGACGCAATGTAGCGAATGTAGACTTGTGAATTTTGTAATGTATGTACGAAAAATGTTTGCATGATTTCAGGTATCATGTTCATATACAGAACTGCCTGCCTCGTTGGCCGAGTGGTCGCAAGTTCGTCTGCCGGACAAGCGGTCTCGGGTTCGATTCCCGGGCGGGGCAAAGTATTATTGGGTTTTTAAAAAAAATCTCAGTAGTAGCTCACCCCCTATTTCATGGGACTCATAACATAAATAGTGAAAAGTGGGTGTTACATTTTACTGTGGCATAATGTGCACCTCTGCCTAACTCTTCGGGGATAAAAGACGTGATGTTATGTTATGTGTTACAGAACTGAATTTAAAATTATCAAGCAAGTCACACAAAAATAACTATAATATTAAAGAAATGGCAATAAGGAACCTTAGACTTGGCAAGACTTTGTCAAGATTTCATTACTTTTAGAGATGAACGAGCGAATCCATCGAAGCTTGGCTAGTTTTTACAGAATGTTTTTGGTTAGATTATTATTTACATAATGAACAATACCTCTACAGTCTAAAGACGCTTTTATTTTAATTGTAAAGAAATTATTTGGTTATTTGATTTTCATCAATATTCTTCAAAATTATTGCTGGTTTTAAAAATTCTTCACTATATTGGAATTCTTACTTTTGAAGGAGTAACATAGGCTATTAGTTATCTCGATATTCCCGTAATAATATGATAATGGGAACATTCATAAATCTTTTAAAATTCCTGCGAACGAAGCCGTCGGAAGAAAGCTAGTATTGCAGCAGTAAAAAGCCTATCAACATGTCAGGGGACATCAACTAGCTACATTTACAACAAATATAACAACTAAGCACCCTTTTAACCAAAACCCGCCATATTCATGTAGAATTGAGTGGTAGCAGGCACTCAGGCAGTTCTCAGTCAACTAATCATCGAGGCAGCGGCTCATTACTCTCCGGTTGACAGACGAATTTATAAGGGCGGCCATCTTGTGCACATCTCATTTGTCAGGGTGTCTCGTAAATTCTGCCGTATTGCTGCTGCGAGCCAAATCCGTGGCGAGGTTTTTGAAGTCTGTTTTCGTGTGTTAATGGTTCATTAGGTTGATATTAAAATAGGAATGAGTGTGGCGTGAATGTTACTGCTTTATATTATTTGTGGTTGTGTTGTACGTCGTTTGGAGAATATGTTTGTGGATGATTTAGTTATGATGCGTTGATTTAAGGAGGGGTGGAACCAATTTTTTTATGATTGTAATAAAATATTAAAATAATACGAGTTTTTTTATGGAATTGGATGCAAACGAGCAGACGGATCACCTGATGGTAAGCGATCAGCGCCGCCCATGGACACCCGCAACACCAAAGGAGACACAGGTGCGTTGCCGGCCTTTTAAAAAGGAATACGATACTGAGAAAAGCTCTACTATTCTTTGTCAGAGTCTCTGTTTCCTGAAGGGTATAACCTGAGTATCTTCAAGGCCCGAGTGAATAGGTTGTTTATGGTATGACGTGCTCCATCGTAGACCGCATCATCGTTTATCACCAGGCGAGATAGTGATCAAACTTCGTCAAGTAACTCGTAATTTTGAGTTAATTCAGTATATCTCAGGAAAATATTAGTTATAAAAGCAATGTAAGAAATTAATGCTCATTGGATATTTAGTGTCTATTATATTTTCCATCTGTTGATTTCTAGAACTGTTATCTACGTAATTTCAATATTAACAAAATATTAAATAGACGTACTTCAAGTTACAGCTCCGTTGTATTATTTCCCTCTGAAAGGGTTTCTCATATCGTTATCCTATTAGAATCCTTGAGGTCCCCGAGTATAATGTTGATTTATCTCGAGTTCGAAATTCAAACAGATAACTTTATTCACAAACAAACATTTTAGATTAAAATCAATTCAGAGGTCGTTACCGTACCGTATACATACATACGTTGTACAAATATCAAACAAACGGTAATTAACATATTTTTACAAAATCAAACGTCGGGTTAAACAAATTATACGCTCGTTTACTTTATAACTTGTCTGTACAAATAGCCCCGGGTATACCCGGCCACACGGGTTGATACACTCGGCTTCGGTTACACCCGGTTAACCGTAACCGGACCCTTACATGGTTCTTTGTTGGTATAAATTTATTGAGCGCATAATTTTATGCGTACTGGTTTCTACGGTTAATTGTTTGGTTTGTATAAACCGGATGCGTAAACGTGGAAAAATTAATCGTTGCAATATGCCCATTTCCATCGATTTTTCTACTATTATTGTCGATGTTGCAATTTGAGAACCGTTTTTACACGTTTGTTTTATTATTTGTATACTTTAAGTGACGTTTCCCTATAAAACTCTACAACGGCCAACTGTAATCAACTCTAACACCCCAAACCAAACAGTAGAAGATGATGAAACATTTCAACAACAATAAACCCAGCGCTGCAGAACGAATAGTCAATAAAGATGCGAAAATAAAAATACAGGCATTCTGTTAGGAGACTCCTTAAAGAAAAGTTTTCACTAATATTGCTGAAGTAAGGCAATAAAGGCGCATAACGGGCCATGTAACAATTATGGACGTCTCCCCGTTGTCTTGTAGCAGACGGAGTAACTGTTATGGAGTGGAAGTGGAACTTCCCTCCAAGTACTCCTCCGAGGATACTGGAGCCGCGGGCTGAGAGAGGCAATGTTCTGTTACATATTTATATGTATGTGGTTGTGGGTACTGAGTAAATGATAAAGATATTGTGGTAGTAGAAAAATGTAGTGTTTGCATTTAAGGTTAAAGCTTAATGTAATTCTGAACAATTTATTTATATGTGACTTTATATTAAGACGAAAATTTCTAAATATTATCATCTATAAAATTAATATCCAATGAAATGTCTCAAATTAGTATTCTGCAGTAGTGCTGGATTAAAATATTATATTAGTAACATAAAATTAATAACATATATAATAATATGAAATTAAAATTGAAAACTAATTACTTTGCCTATAAACTGTAGAAAACAAATAAGGACAATGTTTTCACTTAAATATACATTTAATTGAAATGATCATGATAATTAACAAACACTGATAGTATCTCTCGACAGAGTCGTTTAATATTCGTTTGCAATTTAATCGGTGTTGAAATAAAATTATCGTAATGCAAATTACTTGCGTTCCCATACAGTTTAATGTTTGCAGTTGACACCTGTTCTCGTAACAAACTAGACATAATATTAAATTATATCTGTTTTCATTTATCAGCGTTTAGTATTTCATAATTGCACTAAGATTATTTGCAACGACTGATTGGAACACATGGTGTGTGCTATAAGCTGTATTGAATTATACAAAATGTTGACTTTTCAATGCGAAAATTGTAGAATTTATGTAAACAATACAGCGCTCGCTCCAGTGCACTTTGAGAAGTGGCCAAACTCCGGCGGCGTCGGAACTCCGCGAGGCCTTCTTTAATTCCAGTCCATGGCGTCTCAGATAAGAAGTAGATCGAAGTAACTTTCCGATGCGAGAACTTCAAACAATTAAGCCTTTATTTCGCGCTTCCAACAATGAGAAGTAATTAGCGGAGTGCTTGACGATTCCGGCATTTTTTGTAAAAGGAACTTTTCAAAATACCCTCCTATTGTTCGTAAATTTTCATCAAACTCGGCGCTGACCCCGACGCGGGGGAATCTTATTAACGGGGCGACGCTGCAATGTTTTATTGAAGCTATTGAATGTATCGGCGAGCGCGAGGCGCGGCGGAAACAACCAATATGCTGTAGATAACAAATCTTTGGGGCAATTTAAAGGGCCATTTTTAATATCCGCTCGAGGTCAACATCCTTCCCTTCGCACGGCCCTTCGCGCCGCTCTATGTATCATATTAAATTGAATAAAGGTTGATTTGTAGGCCTGAAAGAACGTTTTCAATACTCCTTATTGAACCATTATGTCTAATGGCTGTGACAATAGAGCATTACAAATTTGTCTCGTCGAGCTAAACTTGGGTGCCAGAGGAGCACAAGTGGACGATTGCTGTCGGAAAACAATGTAGATCTTATTGTTATTGTGGGAAGGTTCTTTTTCGGGTGGATACAAGAGATGTCCCAATTGAGTTTATCACCGGATATTGTAAAATGGTCGTAGTTAGTCGGCACAATGTGTCGGTAGGCATTGACGGGCTTGCGGCACGCTTGCGGCCTCCGATTGTGTTCGGGACTGTACTAAAATTAATTTGATGGGTACACTCCACAGCTTATGGTATTATGTAGAGGACGATTGAGGCGTTAATTAAATTTCCTTAAAATTAAGCAATCTCACCCGGGAACATGATTGAAGCATCTAAACACTTTTGTTTGTCTTGTGTACGTGGAAAATTGTTAAATTTCCTCTTACGTTTAAAAGGCTTTTGGTGAATGAAGTACTTTAATGAGGTTCATAAAATGTTAACGTAACTAACTAAAGTACATTTTTAAATCAATAGAATCTTGGGTCTTATGAATATAACTCTAGTAATACTGAGTTCCACTAACCTGCGGGACAGATGCAGTCTCCTACATCTCGCTCCTTCCTGGAGAGCTCTGGTCCTGCGGCCAGCGACGGCTCCTGCACTTGCGCAGCTCTCCGCAGTTCCTGGAAGTGCTGCTCCAACACTAGCACTCGCTGCTCCAGCGTATGCTGCCGGTACAAGCCGTAGCCACAAATTATGAAAAAGAACCCACAACAACACCACAACACTACAGTGTTCAGGACATTCTTGTCACCGTCCTGTCTGAAATTAGGATTAGCCATGTTCGAGCTCAGTGATTAATGATCGGAGTGCAAAGGATCATTGTCAAGATCGGTATGGACTATTCGTAAGGTCAGGCGTGTATGAATCAATTGGTTCGGTGTGGTCTGGTGCGCCGGTGGGTTGGCACTGGGGCTCCGGCGGGCGCGGCGCGGCTCCCTCGGGAAAGGAAGCGGCCCGTCCATCGTTAACTGCCCTTCTAGTTGTGTCGATTACCGCTCGAGTACCCTACCAAACTTTGATGGACGTGTTACATGCTATGTGTTCCGGATGCTGAGGTTACATTGTCGATCTTATCTCTTCAATTATTTATGTTTTGTGTCGGACTCTCTCAACGCGACATGTACTTACGAATGTAGTGTTTTAATCCACCACGGAAGAATTTGTGATTTAGCATCGTGTTATTGCTGACAATGTTTACAAACATATTAATGGTTTTCTAAACATCATAAATCCATCAATGAGTATAAATTAAACTAAAATTAATCAATAGTTGCTTATCGGAGTAAATGTGTGACACTTAACTGTTTCCAGAAGCCTTTCTAAATGACGCTCTTTCTATAATTTCTTTTTTTCAAAACCTTCCTCCACAACATATGGATATCTAGAGAGTATTGGATACGTTGTATTATGATGACGGGATCCTAATTTTGAACTATGACGCGATTGAAGCCGCAAGCAAAGCGCTAGCGAAGTAATAAAATAATAATACTTACCTACACTTTAAATGTCACTAAACACTAAACCCATCAAGGTACTTTACACTAAACTATTAGAACTATAATTAAATTACAAACGTAAAACACGATAATCCTAATGACGGCAGTAAATTACAGCAGCCTAGTTCTTAGGACCTGTACAAACTAATGAAATTATGGAGCTCGTTCTTCGAGAAAGTTTTAGTAATAATTGCGGGGAGAATTTAAGGACCGCTGTTGTCATAATGTCTCGCGAACACTAAACAAACCGCACCCACCCCCTTTATTACGGCACTAAACATAAATGTCATAAAATTAGAAATCCGCGGCCCCATTACCATGTCGATACGATGTAACTACGATGTAAAATTAAATGATTTGCATATATATTGCATATAAATTGTTCTCCAATCGCAACGCCCGCAATCAAGGATATTTTGGGTCCCTTTTGTTTTACACCACGGCTAATGTCCCGAAGTCCCGGGGTGACGCTGATAAAAATGTAAATGTCCAAGTCAACCTACGCGCCGTATTAGTTCTGCCAACTGTCAGGGGACTTGGAATTTTTCATTTCCCCTGCTGGGACGAATAAATCTTCCGAATCTAGAAGACGGTCCAAGGAGCCCCCCTTTCTGTCCTGATAGTGTTTGCGAGTGTTAGCGAAGTGATAAATGGTACGGCGACAGGTGAATCTCTGTGCGTTTAGGATGGCCCAATCTTGGATTGTGGATTTAGATGTGAAATATGGAACCGGGTATGATAAAATGTTCTTACACTGCCCGACGTTTCCCGTTATCGACTGATATTGATGGTCTTTTCAATGGGATATCTAAAACCGAATAATGTCCGCGTGCATTTGTATTTCGGGAATGTACGAATTCAGTATTGTCTGGGTAAAACTTTTAGTACTACTTACTTGGTTTCAACGAAAGCATTGAACCAATTTAATTTCATTATACATTTAGGTTTCTGCTGGGAACATTCCTCTCGTTCCTCTGTCACTCCGCCCTCCATTACTTAAAAAACGCATAAAACAGTCGACATTTAAACGGAACAAAGTTAAAGAATTCCTTGGATCCACTAGAGTTGGGCTGTCGCTGCAATCCGGACATTATTGTAGCACATTACACCGGCAGGAATACGACACGCAGTGCAGGGTGTCTCCCAACACGACTAACAAGGATAAATTAAAATTCCTTCCCGCTTTATACGCAGTGGGGTCACCCTTGTTTTCAAGCAAATATCTCTGCACAAACTTAGTTAGTTCGACCCTTCTAACAACTTTAGAATCCATTGATTGTTTTCTGACTTAATTTTATTTTCTCTTAGTTTTGAAGCAGCATTGTATGTTGTGTATATCGTTGTTCTACACTATGTTAACCACGTGCGTTGACAAAGAGTGAGGTGTGCACGTTATTTATGCGGTACCTGGGACGCTGCGGGAACACGATATTATTACACACTTGTTTAATTTCCTAAACATCTCCGAAGGTTTATGTTTATAATTAAGTATTGTTTCCAGGGCGAGTCCCTTCAAGGAGCGGCACAAGAGGCTGTTGAGCAGGAACTCCGCAAATCTTGGAATTAATTTTTATGACTCAAGTCTTGAAGTTTATTTTCCTTTGGGTGTAAGGTCGTAATTTTACTGACAATTAAATGCAAAATTACTCTGAGTTTTATGTTTATTAAATGGCTTTAGTGATGACCACTGAATATTCTACAAACGTAGTTACTTAACGATTATGATTATTATATTTCCTTTTGAATTTAAATTATATTTCAGATTTGCATGTTGAAATGTTCCATGAATCGGTACTTTTATGTAAAAGTTTATGATGAAGCGCAAGTATCATAATTAAACTTACCACCAGGCGAGTTCGTGGCTAAGCACCATCTTACTCAATATTAAATGTCGCGGAGAACCTAACGGGTTGCCGGGGCTCCGGCTTGACGTGCAGGAGAAGGAACGGGGTGGTTTTTAGTCAGTAAGAGTCTGACACTCCCTCCCGCCTCACCCAGGCGGGAGCAGTCATTCGATGATTTTACCACCTTAAAAAAACTCAATATGAAATAAAAACTTCTTGTCACATTATTGATCGTGACAGTATTCATATTTAACGGAGACTGATATTAGGTATACCGGGTACATCACAACATGATATAAAATATTTTAATATATGTTCCTGTAACCTTATTACAAACTTCAATGTTATAAATTAAACACATAAAACATTTACAAGCAAATACTATCACGAAACAAGAGCAAAATCAACAAACAATGACGAATAATTTTAATTAAACCGTGGGCTACATCTTCTGGGACGTTCCCAGAAACACACAAAAAACAGGGCAAAACACAGTAAAGGCCAGAAAGGTACGAAATCTAACAAACTTCATTCAAAAATTCAATTAAGCTCTTTTGGGGGCTGCGAGGGGTTTGGGAGACAGGATAATGAGTAACAAACGCCGAAGAGCAGCTCAAACCGATCCGATTTAAAACGAGAGAAAAAAGGAACCGAGTTAATCGGCATTAGCTGGTCTGGTGGACACGGCGGACACCTGTAGTGGCTTCTCTAGCTATAGCTAAAGTAACTACGGTCATAGCTACAGTTGCTGAAGCTATAGCTACGCTAGCATGAGATGGGATGAGAACGTGCGCGCTACAAATAGCATGCCTCGTAGATTGTTCGTTTTGGACAAATGTGATTTCTGATTCGGTGCGCTTTGAATGCTAATATAATTTGGATTAGTCAGGTAGCAGGCGGTGAAATAGATTTTGTGTTTATTTATATTGTATGAAAATGATTTTGAGTGATCATAACGTGTAATTGTGTATAATGATAGCAAGTAAATGCGACTGTTTAAATGATTAATCTGAAGACTGCTTCAGTGATTAATATTTTTAATAGAATTTATAACATAACATAACATAACATAAGATCATGCCTTTTACCCCCGAAGTGGTAGGTAGAGGTGCACATTTCGGCACTTCATGCCACTGTACAATGTAACACCCACTTTTCATTATTTATGTTATGAGTCCCATGTAATAGGGGGTGAGCCTATTGCCATTTACCGGGTACATTTCCAGCCTCCGTGCTACTACTGAGATTTTTAAAAACCCAGTAATACTTTGCCCTACCCGGGAATCGAACCCAAGACCCCTTGCCCGGCAGTCGCACTTGGGACCACTCGGCCAACGAGGCAGTCAATAGAATTTATACTCATACAATATTTATTATACTAACTCAAAATCAAATTTAACAACAAAGGAATATACGGGGTATGAAAACATGGCTCTAAGGATAAGAAAATCAAGAGATAAAGTAGCATCAAGTAAACCACATCAACAATCGAGTCCTGCGGATATTTACATCAAAATCTTATCCGCGCGCCTCCCACACGAATTTCGGTCGTTGCAAAACAACATGTAAATCAAAATGCACTTTGTTTTAATATGAATTTATGGCATGTTAATGGCGCTTGTAATTCCTGTAACGACAGCCCGAGTGCTGGCATTAATCTAGTGCAATTGTGAGTTATTGTGAGCACTGGACTAGTTGTTAATTGACTAGCTCGATACCTCCGTGTAGGTGCTCTGTGCCTGTGTAGGTAATGGATATATAGTCCGGCTCTAATAATCTATAATTGTCTTGTCTCCCATTATTATTATTAATCTTTGAACATTATGCTATGTCAAAGATTATGCTAATCGTAGATCGGACAGTAATGTATTATTCGCCTCAACTTAAACACTAATCAATTTTAATTTAAGTGGTTGTATTGTTTACGACCAATTATGTAACAAGTTCATTTAGATACCTATATTTGCTAACATGTTTGCAGATGAATTTTTGTCAAGATTTTGTACTGAAAATAGAAGTGTAGTTGGAACAACACTCGTGGTTATACTTTGTCTAATTAAGCTACAAAAAGGCCTTTAACGCGATACTTAATATTTCCTGCACAATTAAAATACATTACGTGACGGAAACTATTTCATTCCTTACCCAATACACTGTCCACTGTCAATGTAATTGGCCTTAGAGGCAATGTCTCAATCATTCCATAGATTTATTGCTAGCTGTGACTTGCCCTCCTATTAGTGCAATAGGCGTATAATTAAATTTAAATGTGATTTTAACTGGAAATTTATGAATGCTCTTTATCCTAGTATTGCTAAGACTGGACTCAGTAGGAGGAGATCGATTGGACAATAGTTATCATGTGATATACGATCGGATTGTCCTGTGTCGTAGATACACGTTTTGGTTGAATAAGATGATATCTCATCGTTATGAGTT